TTCTGCCTTTTCTATTAAGCCTTGTATAATCATATCCAGTCATACCAGTTCACCAAGACTATGGTAAGAATTATTCCGGATTGCAAATACAAGCAAAAAATGAAAAAAAGGGCACGGTGTTACTCAAGTGGTCTTGACAAAAAACGAGATATCATCTTTGAACAGAACAAGAAAGGGATATGCACAACAAACCATGGTAAACTAAGGGAGAAAAGTAAGGGTCATTGTGGCAATTATTACAAGCTTACAAATGTTACTCCGTAATCAAAATCTTAATAGGGTAGAAAGCCATCAGGACAGCTTCACAGAAATGTTGATATAAACATATACATAGATGGTATGGGATGCGAACAACATGGAAAAACTCACCAACATCAGACTCGAGCTTTGCACTGTTCAGATCAGAGATAAGCTTGCTTATGGAGTCCTTTGTTCCATTCTGGGGGAACATGGATGAACATAATGAAGATGAAGCACGTGGGAAATAAATGCCACCAGTCATAAAGAATGCAAGGAGCGGTTTTCAATTAAATAATGAGAGAAGAGAAAGTAATATGTCATACTTACACATTTCCAGTTGCCACCAACAAAGAACTGCAAGCAAGAAGAAAGCTAAGATCAGACATCCAATAGGAAAAGGGCAATGCTTTAAAAGTTTCAATGTGTTATACGAGGGTAGAGGAAGCTACTATTTAGGAAAGACCATTGTACTGATACGAGTTGCAAGTACTTTCACTTTTCCGCTTTTTCGAAGTTTCAGATTTTACATTTGCTCTTTAACAAAACCAATTCTTAACTTTTTGTTGTCCCCTCTAATTTCTCTTTGGTTTTCAACTTCTGTTCTGATTGATTAACAAAGTGGAGCTCCTGTTATGAAGGAATAGTTCAAATATTTCCCTAATTGACCAAAAACAAGCAATCGTGTGATATTCACTGATTATATCAGGTAGGATGTGGTTAGTGGTGGGAGACTTCATTAAGATAGTCTCTGCTGTGTATATTATACATGGAGATGGGAAGATCTCTTCTAGTAGGAGAAATTCTTTCGCCTTTTTCAAACATCAACTGCTCCCAATGTAATTGGTTTGGAACAAATGGCCAAGTTGAGTTGCTACAATAACGGATAGGCCATGGTTGGGGCATAAAGTTCTAATCTTTCCCAAAAATATGCGTTCTGTAAACAAATTCTCTCGTTTCACTTATATATCTCTAAGGAAACAAAACATTTCATTTACGAATGACACTTAAGAATTTCACTACCTCTAATTATTGGAGTATAACTTTTCACACACTCTAAATACTGTTTGTCACAGAAATTAATTTTTAAGCACTATCCAACCTCAACTAGTTTGAGATTGATGCGTAGTTAGATTGATATTCAATCCAAGCTTAACAGTGTTAAAAAAAAGGTACCTCCAAATTACAGCTTCACATACTTATTTCTTTCTTATGATTTGCTGTTTTTTTAATAGTAATAATATTAATTCAATTTACTACAAAAAAGGCAGCCTTTTTATTATCTTCTCCAGTTACAGTAAAAGTAAAAGACAGTAAAAACTTTCACCAACTGAACAAATCTACATCAAATTTAAAAATGTACAACGCAATGGAGGTATACATACACAAAGCATTAGAAATGTGTGACATCTCATCTAAAAACTTAATTAAGCGGTTTTACCTTGCCGGAGCCGGCCATAGTGACGACGGCTCTACAACCTTTCTGAGAAGAAGAAAGGCGAAGTTGAGAGTCCACATTTTGGAAAAAGGATTGAGTAGTGGAAAAGGAAACAGAGTTTAAAGAAGAAGGTCGGAGGCCAGAGAAGTGAGGACATGAATAGGAGGATTTGGGGCCAGAGAGTTGGGAAGCTAAAGAAGAAGTTGAAGCTACCGCCATTTTCCACAACTGTGTGAAGATAAAAACTGTCTCAAATGGCAGCTTTTTCTTCTCTGGTTTTTGGTTGTGGTTAAAGAATGTGCTGTTACTGTTGTTGTTGGGAACATCTATTTGTGTTATCTATCGGTTTGCTTCACGATAGTTTGCGGTGCGTGAATATCACGTTCCAAAAACCTCTTTCAATTTTGTAAATGGAAAATGTCCAAATATGCGGGTCAATTGATTTTTTGACCTTTTATAAATTTATTTTTAGTTTTATAATTCTACCTTTTTTTTTATACATGTGAGATTTACTTTTACACGTAAGAGATCTTTCATTTACACATAAGAGATCTAAAAAAGATATTTTCTTAAATTCAATATTGTAAAAGGCCAAGAAAGCCTAAAACCTCCAAATATGCCCTTGAAGGAGTATATAAAATTGGATGAATTTGTCCGTCGTTAGTACTTTGATATAAATACGCCTCTACCGTCCAATACTTGGTTTGAATATGCTCTTATTTTAAACGATCTCATATAAAGTACAGGGGCATGTATGAGCAAAGTATTAGTAAATCTGCTCAATTTTGTATAGTTAAGAACATATTTGTACCTTTTCCATTTTGTAAGCAAATTCAAAGGCAGTGAGGGCTTCTCTCTTTTTCTTTTTCAAATGTAGGTGAGAGTCAAATACTAGTATAATAATTATGATTGCAACTAACATAAAGGTTTAATTAAATCTCTTTTCTTGATAATCTTAATTGTGCAAATATCTAAATTGCTGAATTCTCGTGAAAGAAGGAAAAAATATACTAAGGTGACAAAGTAGGTTTAAAAGCTACTTTAGGTCTTATGTTTAAATCCTAGTGATATTCTTGTATGTTTCTGAAACCCCCTATACGTTCTTAGCTCCTCCACTCCTTACTCCTTAAATAAACTGCTATTTTATACGGTACTTTTTTATTATATTTTACGTAATCCTACAAATAAACTACAATTTTAATAGTTTGATACACAATTGTTTAGAAAGTGTGCAAGTCACGTACAAAGTACAAATGTCTTTCAAATTTGTAGTAGGTGAGGGTCCTTTTGTCCAAGGTTGACGAGGGACGAATTCTGAGTATACTCATATCTAAATAAGGCTGCAATATAGCATAAAATGGGATGATGCTCTATTAATATTTGTGTCATCTACTACGCCCATAAACTTTCAAATACATCGATTGGAAGTGTGATATATCGAGATTAATTAATGGTGTTTAAACTCCTTTATTGCAATATTTGAGCCTTAAAAAGTTCAACTATCATTCCTCTCTCCCTCTCCATGCACATAACTATCTACTTCATGATCTTGTGAACTAATCGAGAGTTGTCTGTGCACAAGTATTGCATACACGTTATATGTTGTATTTTCTTTTCAAAATAGGTCGTCTACTTTAGTTCGGAGGGTCTCATTGTATGTAAATATATTTGTATTTAAACTTTGGATAGAGTTATCCAGTATTTATATTGGTGAAAAGTAATAAATAGTCCGTAAAATTAGTTAAAGTGCGCATAACTAACCTGAACGATATAAAAAAAATTATAATCGCCAAGCTAATTACTTGTTAATTAACGTAAGCTATTCTGCAAAAATAAGCAGGATGTGAAATCCAATCACGCACGAGGGGGAAGTAGCTTTGGTCCATGCTTCTGGTATCAAGGATAAGGTTAAAAGAGATACTAAAAGAATGGAAGGATGTCATTTTCTATGCTGAGGCCACAAATTGATGGGCAGCTTTATTTCCTGTACGTTTCCTTTTCCAAAGGATATTTTGGATAATATATATGCAACTTCCTCCTCTATTCGACACCTGTATGTTAGCATCTTAAAAGGATATTAATGGGTTTTTGAGGATCTGAGGTGTAAACTGCTTATATATTGATGCCTCTGAAGTCTTATCCATCACCAAGATTGTTGGTTGGGCTCATACAGTAGATCACTCATCTAAAACTTTAGTTTTTCTTATTTATACTCTTTAATTTTAATTTTTGCAAGAAAAAACTGATCTGTTTATGAATATAATATTTAATTTATTTTAAATAAAAAATCGACCGTCGGCCGATTTCTTGAGGAAAAAAGTCTGATACACATTTAACGCAAATATATAT